CTCTTCACCTGCTTCTTCTTTTGAATGAGTTCAGCCAACATCTTGTAACGGATCATACATTCCTCCTGTAATCACAACCAACACAGGGTCAAAGGTCATTCACTGAAAGGTCAGGGAATATTAGCTGATCAGAGCTGATCAATAACCAGTCAATGAGCAATTAAACACCAACCAATACCTGATCAATAACCAGTCAATGAGCAACTAACTAATCAGGACTTAGTCCCTGTTAATCAGGTTATTGATCAGGAATTGGAAGCTCTCTGATGACTGATTGATACAGTATTTTGTTAATCAGGTTATTGATCAGGTATTGGAAGCTCTCAGATGACTGACTGATACAGTATTTTGATAATCAGGTTATTGATCAGGTATTGGAAGCTCTCTGATGACTGATTGATACAGTATTTTGATAATCAGGTTATTGATCAGGTATTGGAAGCTCTCAGATGACTGATTGATACAGTATTTTGTTAATCAGGTTATTGATAAGGTATTGGAAGCTCTCTGATGACTGACTGATACAGTATTTTGATAATCAGGTTATTGATCAGTATTGGAAGCTCTCTGATGACTGACTGATACAGTATTTTGTGTTAAGGTCTTAAACATTCCTTCAGTCTGGTCTAACTGGTTCTAGGTTCTGAACATGGTACTGCAGTCTGAACCAGGGTCTCGGGCCTCACCTTGGTCTTTCCTGGAACCACCTTGGCAATTCGGTCCCATCGTTCTGCAGTTCCTCTGGGAAACTGCTGCAGAGCCAGTTCCAGCAGTTTCTGCTGGTTCTGAGTCCACACTGCAAGGACCGGTTTGTCTTTGGTCTCCTGTGGCTCCGCCTCCTCTTCATCCACTGCAGTTGGATCAAAATCTCTTTGCCGACGCCCTCTGACTTTCTCGTCCCCACCATCTGTTGCAGAAGACTTCCTGTTCCTCCTTCGGACCGCAGGAGTGACTTCCTCCTCCTCCTCTTCCTCTTCATGATCCCCTCTCACACCTGACATCAATATGCTGTCATCCACAGGAAGTGACCTCACAGGAAGAAGCTGGCCCTTTAAGTCCGAGAGCTTCACAAGACCTGTGAACAGCAGCAGATGATGGGACTGTCAGCAGATGTGCAGGGTTTGATCTTTGTCTCATGTTCAGACAGGTGCTTCATGTTTCCTCTGTGACCATGTGGAGCTGCCTGAACACTCGCTGCTATAAAACATCACTTATTTGTGCATTTTTCAAAATAAAGTGTTGGCGTTGTTTAAAGTGATAGAGAGGTCCTGTATGGTTGGACAAACCATAAGACTAACTACTCACCTGAGGTCTGGCTAACGCTGTCCTTCACCTGTTTGACTTTAGTTGTCACCTGTTGAAGAAAACAATTTAAAACTTTCAAGGTTTTCAGAACAAACCACTTTTATCTATAAAACACTTTAAACAGCACCAGGCCAACCAAAGTGCTGCACAGCAGACACACACAACAGGACAGAGCGTTTATATTTACAGCACATGTAGAACACAGTTATGATACACAGTGAGGTTTTGAACCATCTCACTCAGACCCAAAGGCAAGGCAGCAGTTGTGTGTTTTTAAATGAGACTTGAAGACAGCGAGGGAAGGAGACTGACATGTGGTGGTAGATCAGTCCACAGGTTTGGACCTGCTACAGAGAAGGATCTGTCAGCTCTCAGTTTGAGACCAGAGTCAGGGACCTTCAGAAGCAGATGACCAGATGATCAGAGCTGTGGGACAGGTGGGTGCACTAGACCTGACAGGTTAGAGGGGGCGGAGCTGTTTAGGCATTTCCATCTGGGCATTTAGCATCTCCAAACACAACTTGCAGATCTGGAGGCACACTAAAGAAGGAACAATCACATTCATGGTTTATTGGAGGCAGCAGAAGGGGACAACACCATGGTCTTTACTGAGGGGTTCATAAAAACGGAGCTGGCCCTCACCAACACCTCCCCAAGATCACAGAGACCATGGTCACACTGCAGGTCTTCTGCTCACTGCTGATCTTTGTGTGAACGTTACATTTTAATGTGACCTGTCAGACTCTGTGTGAACTCTACACAGCTCTGATGTGACACACATGTGCAGTAAAAGTCTCATCAGCTGGTTTGTTTACAGAGCTAGCATGGATGCTACATGTTACACATCGAATCTGAAGTTGTTGTTTAATCAGATCAGATTAAATAATTATCTGACCTGCTTCTTTAGTTCAGTGTTTATATCTGAAGCTGCCTCTGACCGGGATGCTCCAGTGAAGCTTTTTTTTTTTTTTAACGAAACTACGAGCTGGAAAAAAGTATGGACTGAGTAACTTTAGGATGGATACGCTCCGACCCAGGCTGGACATGTTATTATCAAACTAATGAAAAGTAAAAAGATGAATCAACTGGACTTGTGTTTTGGAGCTGTAAACACACGGAGCTACAGATTTAAACAGCGAGACTTCAGGTTAGTGTCTTATCGATCCTTCAGCCCCTCCTCCTGATGAAAAAGTCAGATGAATGTGACATGAGCGTTCACACTGCAGTCACTTTGAAAACATCAGGGCTCTCATTTATAAAGGATTGTGTGGAAACCACACTAAAAGTGAACGTACGCCAAAAACCTTCCGATTTATAAAACCGTACGTACACACGTTTCTACATCTGTCCTTTATAAATCACAGCCACACGTCAGAGTTTGAACACGAGGTCCTCCTCAGGTTCTACC